CTATTCGGTATCGTATTAAGACTATTGGGTATATTTTAGATACATATAATTACGGTGAACATGACCATGTTCGGTAAATAGACACATGTAATTAATTTTGTAAGTGACGATTTGCTAGTATTTAGTCACAACAACAATCAATTATAGTATTTATTTGCCACATAAATTGTTTTTCATGTTGTTATTGTTTAACTTAGTCACAAAAACTTTAGAATAAACATTATTTTAGAACAACTGTAGACTCATAATTCTTGTATATTATGGCTATTGTTAACCATTTAGCCACACGTTAAAAAATGATGTAAAGTAACCATTATATAATTTTAGAGACATTGAAAAACTATAAAACATGGCCAAATTTATATTAAAGCAACTTTAATTCAATTTTTATTGTTACTTTTTCTATATTGTAGACACATCAAAATAATTTAAATTAAAGTAACCAAACCCAACAATATGAAACAATATCAAAATTCATAATTTGATATTAGTAATAATTGAAATCCAAATCCATACATTAATTTCCTAATTAAAAAACCAAAAATAGAAAATTGTACTAATTGCAAGTATTTAAATTATGGTAAAAAAAGCAAACACATCATAAACCAAAACCTAGACATAACTAGGCATTTATCTTATTTGTATTGCTCCTTGTCTTCTTGAGAATGGTATCAGATGATGTGTAAGTTGGTTTCCTTTTCTTTGAGTTTTGAAGTTGATGGTCTTGATGTGATATAATATCTTGTACATATACCAACAACATTGAAACAAAAAAAATGAGTTCATTAAAAACATGGTATACTATTTTATGAAGAAAATAAAATGTAATGCACAAAGAAGTTAACATAAACAAACCTTTGAATCGGTTTGCACAAGGTATTTTGGTCATGGAACAAAAATTTTATATGTGTCCTAAACTAATGTGAATTTTCTCTAACAATTCTCGCAAAGTACAAAGAAGGTCATCATCATTCAATCAGGATACTCTTCTATGATCTTTTATATCATAAGTGTTACCATTCCAAATCATGTTCCACCATCAAAAGAATGGCACACCCGAAAACATACACAATTGAAATTTTTAATATTAAAGAGATGTAAATACCTGACTCTGATGAATCAATACTTTATTTTCTTAAGCAATCATATATTAGCGTGTATAGTATACACAATTGTTAGCCATGACAGATGGAAGCTATATACTTTTCAAAAGACATAATCTTACCTTGAGGAGACCATAACACATAATCTGTTAGCCATTGCATATGGAAGCTATACATTAGCTTTCCAACATCCATAAAATATTTTAGTTGGGTAACTTGTTGCCTGTTGGTCTAGTGTGAGAGCTCGGCCTCCCTATATAACAAGGGTGCCAGAGTTTCATACAACAATAATTTACTAAACATGGACCTGGAGATAAGAA